AAGCTAATCTTCAAGTGTATGTCGAAACACCGTTACATTCAGAAAAACTGACTGTTTGTTGCGCTTTATGGGCTGGTGGAATCATTGGTCCGTACTTCTTCAAAAACGATGATGGCCAGAACGTTACAGTCAATGGTGATCGGTATAGAGCTATGATTACTAACTCTTTCATTCCTGAATTGAATAACCATGATGTCCAGGAGATGTGGTTTTAACAAGACGGCGCAACATGTCACACAGCTCGTGTCACAATCGATTTATTGAAAAACACGTTTGGTGACCGCCTCCTAATTTCACGTTTTGGACCTGTGAATTGGCCTCCAAGATCTTGTGATTTAACACCGCTAGACTACTTTCTGTGGGGCTATGTAAAGTAATTGGTTTATGCGGATAAGCCACAAACGCTTGACCATTCGGAAGACAACATTCGCCGTGCTATTGCCGATATACGGCCACAGATGTTGGAAAAAGTCATCGAAAATTGGACGTCCAGATTGGACTACATCCGCGCCAGCCGTGGCGGTGATATGCCAGAAATCATATTTAAAATGTAATGCCACAAGATTATCTTTCGGATAAATAAAATTCATGTCAATCGAATAATCCATCGTTGTTTTATTGCAACTTAAAGTTCTATACATCGAAAAAAAACACCCCTTATAACCCGGACATTTCTACGTACATTTAATCAAGAATCATGAAATCCGTAAAACGCAATTTATGGTTGACTCCAGCTATAACTATTTGAGAAAAAACCGTCGGATATGTATCCACTAATGCTCGTTAAAAAAATTACCGATAATAAGAACTTCCAAGAATGTTTTGAGCTCTGTCAATATTAGGGCACGAAAAACTTCGGAGCAGTTTTTAATTTGCCTAGATTAATTACGGCATATTTTGATTATTTTGATTATAATTGTTTTTGTCAGAAAAGCTCTGAAAGTAAAACTAGACATTTTCAATCATAGTTTTGACTGGTGTAGAAACTCTTTTCAGTTTCTTAAAATGAAAGTCACTGCTACAAACCCAAATAGTAACTACTATCGCGGCTGATGTTTTTCCTACAATGACAGTTTCCCGTATCTACTACCTATAGAGACCTGGCGTAAGTTTATTAATTCCTCACACCTACAAAAACACCGAGCGTTCGAGCGACATGCGAGTAGAATAAATATCAACTTAAACCGCTTCCGGGTCCACTGATTAAAATTTCCGGTATACAAATGTATATCAATTGTTGTGTTGCCTAGAAAATTGAATTGCGCGTGTTTTGCTACGCGGAATACGCGGAATATGTCGTCAAACAAACGATATGAAAAACACGCCGTCTGAAAAAGTGTGGTGGTGTCAGATAATGGCGATAAGCCTAGGAGGTCGTATATGTTGATATATATTAATTACGTTATAATTTAGTTTGTAAATAAACTTCATTGTTAAAAATGTTCGCCATTCATGTTTAGCGGGGGATAATGAAAACGTAACTGGAGGTGATTATACTTTTAGCAGGTTTTGGAGAATCGTCATATTAGAATTAGAAAAATACTTGAAGTTCAACAATCCAACAATCAGAATTTAAATTTTGTTTCTTATTTTAGTCGAAAAATATGGCAAAGGAGAGTAAAAATGCGACAATGGCAACAATGCAACACGAAAAATATGTCAAATTGATGCACAAGAGTAAAAAAGCCATCTGACTAAATTTTATGATGTGTGTCATACTAGAATTAGAAAAATACTTGAAGTCCTATTCCAAAATATTTGTATGGCAATTAATGCGACGGCGTCAGGTTTCCTCGAATGTCAACGTGGGAGATTTTAAATCTTTCTGTTTCTGTTTTGATTTTCTTAAATTACAGCCCTGTGGCACCCCACTTGTGTCACTGTTCTATATATGACACGTCCGCCGTCTTGATCCTGTATGCTCAAATTGAAATAATATAGCTTATTTATGGTATTCCGTTTTACTTTTTATAAAACTTCTGGATTCTTCCTGCGTCGGTTTTTATTGACTCGAACTAGCTAACGTTTCGCCAATCATCCTGTTAGCTTCTTCAGAGCCTGACTGAAACTGACTCGCATTACCTGCTTTTATATTGTTTGAGAGGGGCGGAGCTAAATGAGGGGCATAAACACCGTCTCGGATGACTGATTCCCATATTGGTGAGAGGCAGATAGATAATGTGCCATTATCGACAAATCTCTAGACATACCTAACACTAGTGTTAGTGTGTTGAAATATTTCAAACAAACAATGTAGTTTATTCCAATAAATCTCACATTCAAGATTCGCTTTTAAACATATCATATTTTTGTGTAGGATTTTTTTTTGCATCTTCCATGTTTCTTGAGTTAAAACTGTCAGTTATCTAAATATCAAATAGAATAGATAGTGCAGTTAATTATATTTAATTCGATTCTGCAATAAAATATATTTCCACCTCCATAAATCCGCAATAAATTTTAACCATGACTTGTAATAATTGCAAATTGTCCTCTAGTATCACCCTGTACTATACTGGGAAATTACTATTTAATTAATATTGAATTATTTGTAACATGAATAGGCGGAATAAGTACGATGACAAAGCAGTGTTGTACACAGCAGTATAATTGAACTAAAAGATTGCATATACCAAGGCGTTTGGTCATACGAGCGGAGAGTATCGGTCCGCCCCTGGCTATTATAATTAAATAGGTCAAGAGAGCTTTTTTTTTTCATCCACGAGTTTCCAGCAAATTAGTAATAAATAAATAAAACGGCACAACGAGCATTACAAGGCCATGATTTGTCGAACCAGCACCTATTTGTTGGCTCTCCGCCTTCCTCTGGTTAACATCCCTGGGTTGCGGATGTTCTCCGATCTAACGTGGCTAGCGCCTTGTTTGAAATGGACTTGGCTCCGAACTCCAAGTTCCAATCCCGATGAATACGGCTTGAACAATATTTGAGAATGTGTTCATTAACCCATTTTCATTGTTCCATATCCAAATTACTAGCTACACGAATAATGTTTTGCTTTTAAATTACAGACATGCGCTATTATTTCGGGTGTCATAGAATGTATGTAGAAGGATGTGAAAATGTAAAAATATGACTTAATTCTAATACTAATTTGTTCTATATAAATTCATTTTATTTACTATTTACAAACTGAACTGAAACTGGCTTGCATTCCCATATTCCAAAAGATGGGCAAATTAAAAAATGTATTGTTTTTATGCAAGATACCAATCTGTAAAACTACATTAATTGTTACTGCTGTAGCGTGTATTGTCATTGTACTGGGTGGTCAGTTAAGTAAAGTGAGGGTCATAACGTGTAGTAATTGTCGTATAAAACTCGAATAATAGTATTGAAGAGAAATCGCTAAAAATTACGTATCAATACGTATAAAATGATATCTAGCCGCACATATTATTTTGCGGAAATAATGGCATTTGAAGGAGTTGTACTAAAAATAAAAGTATTAGTAACGCTTTCAATATGTGTAAATACTGTGCTAGACTGTGACTCATCACCATGTTAAAGTACCCTCTGGCTTCAAAATGAAATGGTTAAAAAATAAAGATCTCGGCATTGTAGTCGCTTGTAATCATTTTTATGAAAAACTATCATTTAAAGCCTTCTTTAACAAAATTCAAAAAACTTTTTCTCGTCGAAACTTAATTATAAACACTTAATATTACACTCTCCGATAAAAAGATGCTTTATTTATTCAGTATGAAGAGCATAGTATTTTTTCTCTCGCCTATATTCAAAAAAACACATTTATTAATACGACCAGGGAAATTACACCCTCAGCGGCCAACCTAGAACCTTGAAAGTAATTTTCAGCGTTTTTTTTCCAAAATCTTACTTTTGCAGACGACAAGGATATTGCAAATATCGAATAGGTTGCAACATATTCGTGTAGGTATAAACATTTAGTAAACAAATTTTGCGGCTTTACCACACACCATGCAATAGCTTTTTCTGGAAAATAACTAGTGCTTTTATCCAATTTCGTATTCTTCTTATTGATTTTACCATATCTGGGATGGAAATGTACATGGTCCACCTACCTATATTTCCAAATAAATATTTTATATAAGGTATCGAAAAAAATATCTTTAGTATTTTAGTGCTCTAATAAACTGAGCTAATCGGTGTCCGCTTATTCTTTTTGGTTGCTTTTGCTAACTTTTCGACCAAATGTTATTTTCCGGCATTAGTATAAACTCTAGACGGTAGCGTGTTTACCGATGGTCCCAAAATAAATTTGCTGATAATTAAGAGACGAGAGCAAAATACACAATAAGCAAAGTGCCAATGTTATTTGCCTGTTAAAATATATAGATAAGAGTAATGACCTACCTTTACCTATGTGCAATCGACGTCTCGCTGCGAATATTGAAGAAGGTTTTTCAAGTTTGCCACTTTGTACCTATTCCTGTATAAATTATTTTACAAAAATAATAAATACGGAATGGTTCTACTATTAGACACGAAGACACTTCTTCTAGCACTCTCACTTAATCATTTTCTAATCCGATCCATTAAATTTTACAAATTAATTTCAAAAATTAAAAAAATATAGAGAGTTGAATAAATAAAACAAAATCATAAAAAAATGATAATCCGTGATGAAATTTAAAAAGTAAAATAAAAATATCAAAATCATGTAATCACGGTTAAACGGGACTGCTTATTGACCCATAGAAACCTAGCCAAAGGGTGGTTAGAAAATTTATTACACATACGCTAGGTAGACACATTATAACAACAGTATAGACTATAAATAAAGGATTGAGGGTTTTCATAAAGACGTAAAGTAAAGCTTTTCAAATGTCAATTGTGCTATTTTATACAATTTACTAGGAAAGGCAAATCGTCTATTTTTCTCTTTTCTTGCAATATGTTTTTACATTTTACTTAATTTACATACATACAGCCTGTCAACGATCAGATTATAACGATGTGTGTAGATTATAACCTATTTGATTATTTTTATTTATTTCAGAATGGGTATATTGAATGCGACTCCAAATGTCCAAAGACGGATGATTGCCATATGATTGTTGAAGATGGATGCTGCAAACGATGTAAAGGTTAGTAAGAAAAAAATCAAATTTTGTTATTAACTATATATTCGATAGTTTCAAAAGGAAATGTTTTAAATTAAAATTCCTCGCGTATTTGGAAGAGGGTGGTCAGCGCAAGTCTAAGATTAAGTTTCAGAAACTTTAATTCAAATATCAGTTTATTACCGAACTGTTGTATTTGATATCATTGATAACAAAATGTCCAATTAAAATATGGATAGGTTGGCAACCTATTGTGGCCGTACGTACTAAACCGGAAGCTTCGCTTGTTTTTCTTGATTGGTCTGCTTCTGGTGGGAGCTTATACAGCTAAAATTGAAGTAGTCACATCTGTTATTTATTTTTAACGGTTTCTCCAAAGACTCATTGTGTTGTTTGTTTCAGGCTGCATTTATAAAGGTGTAAGCCATCCAAGTCATACCGAATGGTCGGATATTGGAGACCCTTGTAAAATTCTGCGATGTGAAGCAGGTGTCATCACCGTCTCGAATCTGCGATGCCATACACCATGTGCCAATCCTCTGCCACCACAGCCTGGGAAATGTTGTCCTACTTGCCCAGGTAGATAGATAATAATATGCAGGGCTGTATTAAATCCTTTACAGCAACTAACGTAGAGAATCCCTGAGGTCTATTCTATTTTCATTTCTGTTCTATAACACACAAAAAATCGAAATTAGAAATTCAAAAGTGTTGTTTAACTTAAATTCTTGTATTCTTTTTCTCATAAGCGTGGAATAAGAAATATGGGAAACTTTATAAAATATCGAATATTTTTCTTATACAGATGTATGGTATGAAATTGCTAACAATACCTACTTATTTGCTTATCAGTAAGCATTAGTAATCGGAGTGATTTTCTGATAAAAATGCACATCTTGAAATGATAGCAGAAGTAACTTTATGAGAATATGGAGATGCTTGTCCAAATCATTTTCTGATATTTCCTGATATTAAAACCTGCAAAATATACTTTTCTATTTTCGAAGATACTTTTCACGGCTTGAATGTTGACGTTTGTCAATTTTGACGGTCATGTCAGTGAATGTATATATACGTATAGTATACCTTTGGTAAACTTTTTAAGTCGCTGGTTTATTAAGCACTCGCTCTGCTCGTGCCAAGTAAACCCGTGACTCAGACAAATTTAACCGCAATGTGGCACAATTGATAAGATGGTTCATAAATTGCAAGATATCTCCTAAAATTTCTACATTATCATGTCTGAAAATTTTCTTTTAAAAGTTTTGTCCAAGGCTTAGTGGCATAACCATTGTAATAAGAAGGAATCTTCTGAATTTCAAATTACTTATAACCAACTTATCCCATTTCAATAAACTCACACTTGGCTCAAAGAAAAACCGGTACATACTATATACTCTATTGTAGTCTGTAGTATCAGATTAAGTATCATAATCGGGAAATAGATTCAATTTCAGAGTTATTATCAAAAGAATAATAAAAAATTTTTCATAACTTCGAATGAGTAAAAATTACTTTTTCTACTCCCGTCTGTAAAATGCCTAATTACGCACCGATCTAGCTTGCGGGAAGCGTCACTTTATCACGTAAGTTTCGTTTTCCACGGATCCGAGCCACTACGGACATTTCCGAGATTTTACCGCACGTGCTTCGGAGCAATCGGATATTTTCGCAGATATTTCCCACGCCTAGAATCTTGACGTTTGTGAATTCTGATGGTCATATCAGATGTTGTTTTGCGAAAATATTCCCAAAAAGAAGTATAGTGTGCCAAATAAACTCGTGAGTCAAATGCCGTTTACCGCACTTGTTGCATAATATACTATTTTTAATCCCTTCCTTAAAATACCCAAGTATACGTACGGCTGCGAGCGGATATTTCCGGCATATTACTCCCCGGTTCGGGGGCAATCGGATGGCTTCGGAAATACGGCTTCAATTTTGACGTTTGTCAATTCCGACGGTCATGTCAGTCGTCAGTAAATGTATTCGTGTTATTTTGCAAAAATGTACCCAAAAACTACGTTTTAAGTCACTTTTGACTCAAATGTCCTTTACCATAATTCTTGCATAATATTCTATTAATTTTTCATATTCCCTCTTTCACAGTTTATCCCGTTTCACCATATCTAAACTTATCATGTACATGTAAAGTTGGAGCATGCATAAAGGGTTTTTAAGCAAAATAAAATAGCAGTATTAGCACTTTAAACTATTGGAATTTTTAGAGAAACACAGAAAATTATTTGGCTTTCTAGATATCCAAAATATTATTTGCTTTCAGAACGAGTAAAAAAAAAATCCGATACGACACCAAAAAAATATTTTTTACAATTTTTTAATTTTTGAAAGTGAGTTTTAACAAAGAAATTATTATTTTGAAAATTGAATCTGCTTTCCTTGCCGTTTCACTAGAAAAATTATATCCGGAAATGCTGTTTCACTGTTCCTATTTCCAAGACATTCAGAGTGTTTGCGTGAGCCGATATTTGCCTTTCATTTCGCCCGAAGTTTTTACAGATCTGAATAATTGGCAGGAAATTTGTTCCAGTTCCAAACAAAATTTATAGCCAATAGTAAACTTCGAGAACCATAAGAAAGTCGATATATTCAAATGAAAGTTGTAACTTAAACTTTCCGGATACTTTCTGTTGCTTTTTTAATTTATGGTTATTAGCATAGCTCGTACCAAATTGGTTGGAATCAATCAAATGCTTGGAAAATATAAATATAAGAAGCACAATATGTTACGTGCGATAATAAGCACACGTCTGTAATTAGACATATATAATATTTATATTAAAAAAACGGAACACTTCTCTAAAATTACATTGATTTTGACAAATTTCGTATATTACTTTAATAATGCAAATTTATTATATATATTTTCAACCTGCGAGTGAATTAATTGGCATCAGTTGTTTATTAATCTTCCAAGTAACACAAACCAGTCGTGGCACGTGAGCGCATGTGTGGGCTTCGGACAGATCACGCAAATCGGGCGATCATCCCTACAGATTAATCATCGGAGCATGTATTTCCATTTACATAGTGTCTATTAATAATGTCATTTGAATAAGAAATTAAACTAGACAAGTCTGTATAAATCATAGGTGGTTAAACGTGAAGCGTGTGCATTATTTTGTCCTTGTTTGAATATTAATAAATACTAATAAAGTAATAGGCACTGGGGCTCATAAATTTTATTCTTCTATCGTGCTATTACTTAATTATTATTATTAATTTGGAAGAAAATTATTTGTCTGTTTATACAGGGTGGTTGCTTTGTTAAATTTGAAGGTCTTATTTCTTGCTAACTTCTTATCTAGGACGCTTTGATAGAAATGCACAGGGTGATAAACATGAAAAATTATATACAATTTTTCTACGCTCTCCTATTTTGAAAACGAGTTAGAAAATGGAAATTAGGCGCACAAAAGACCGTATGTCGTAAATTTTCCGGAGTTGTTCCATGCACAAGACTTTAAAATAGTTCAGCAAACAATCTTCTAATATTTTCTCATTACAGAAATTTGCTAAGATTGGTATTTCCGTCCTTCCATACTTTTGGTTAGTTAATTACTCGGCTAAAGAAACTTTAAGATTTTTTGAATTCAGAAAGCCAGTCTAGAAAAACTGCGACAAAAATATTAGCTGTACCGTTTACTTGAAAAAAGTGATTTTTTTTAAGGCTTTTATTTATATTTCTGTAATTTTGTCAATGATCCTGACTGTAAATCGCTTTGGCAATGGCTTATTATTATTGTACCGGATGTCTCGCGTGAGATGACCCATATACTTTTCTCTTTGTATTAACGGGAATTTTTTGATTAGTCACTTTTGTATTATGCAGGCTGTTCCAATTATCGACATCAAACTTAAATTTTAAAATAAAACACCCTATATTTTATTGCGTTTTTGTACTTAGTGATTTCTAGATAAAATGTTTCCTTGAATTATTTATAATAAAAGTATTTGTTTACGGTAACGATATGGTTATAGTTTTTTGTCTTAGATAAAAATTCTTAATTTAGTATTTTTTTCAGAAAAATAAAATTCAGTGTGTTATATTATTATTTCAATGGAATTCGTAAAAACATGAAAAAAAGAATCATTATGCGAGTTCTAAACGTATAATAGCACACATTCTACTAAAGCAAAGGCTTTCAGTAGCAGAAATCGATACTTAATTAAGACCTGCAAACATCACTTTTGGCGTAAAATTCAAAATATGTCGGAAACGGTAAGAGTTAGATCTACTTTATCATCTCATGATAAACGGGCCGTTCCCGTACAAGCGAATAAAACTTGTGGATGTACTTTGTTTTTTTTTTTTATAATATAGGAATTGGTTACATCGCTTGTTAAAAAGTTTAATAGATAAACTACCACAAGTGATGGACTTATTTTGAGGCAATTATATTCATTGACAACTGATTGCTTGAAAATTTGACGTTAAATAATTATTTTAATAGTGACGTTCAGAATATCCATGCTCCACATTGCCTGCTCTATAAAAGGTGTAAAAGAAGTTCGGAGGAAGAAAGCATATTCTATAGATCTAGTTTTTTAAAGTACATGCTCTACACACATGAATTTAATTTAGAACTGCATTCTTAGGGCCGGTTTCACTAAAGATGCAGATCCAACGGTTCAAAAATATATGACATGGAAAACTTTCTATGGTTATTCGATTAAAAAACAATCTAAAATGTTCATTGGCCACTGATTGAACTTTCTCTGAAACTTATATCAAACGACAGAGTTTGGTTTATATGAGCTTTTTATCCATCCCCAAATCGATAAATATTAATTAAAATTAAGTTAGGCACTTTTAATGAAAATCCCGCGTAAAGACCTAGGCAGTATTCACCCAGATTAATAGTGTAGTGCTTTTGACGTATACTCCATTCATTAATATACAATTGTGAATTTTAGTAATGTTAAAAAATTCTTTCTTATTTAGAAAATGTTCGCAAACTCGCACAACATCAAAAGTATTGGAATTTAGATATTCAGTAATCGCATCTTATAATTTCTTGCGACACTCTGGACATTTTAGTTGAACATAGCTGGGCCTGGTCTCTATTTCTCCACAAGTTGACAGTTGCCATGTATTTGCATCTTTGGGAAGGCTTATTATGGCTTTAGTCAGCCATAATTTTTTTCCATATACATACTCCAATCACACAGTCATTGTAAAATGTCTGAATGGAAACTAACTATTAAAGAACAATAAACCATCGACATTTTTGGCTCGACAGCATGCTCACATAGTCTAATAATGTCTAATAATTGGATATTAATCGCCCAATCGATTGGTCCTTCTTTTTTCAGTATATTTTGTCGGAAACCAGAAATAAAAGATTTATGAACCTAGTTGAATTTTGTCCAACTTGCTTAAGAGGAGGTGACACTGTTTACTGTTCTAAAGGTTATTATTATTCTTATTATTCTTATTATTATTATTATTATTATTATATATTATTATTATATTATATTAATATTGGCACTAATTTGAGTTAATTTGAAACATGGTCCAGAAAAACAAGGAACTTCTAAACTTCTTTAAAACTCAGAAACTAAGACTGGACAATAATCCAGAACTCTTTTGAAGCATATTAAAAAGGAAGAATATGACATGTAATTTTCGCCAGGGCGACTAATCATTGCTAGTAATACTAGACTCCTTTCATTGAAAATACTATGTATTTACTGATGACTCTGTAAACGGCATTTTTTTGCAAAATACATGGTAATGTATGTACGTATTATAAATATAATGAAATTGGAATACATTTTAATACTTTAATAATAATATTAATTTTGTAATTTCTTTTACATTGCAAAATTGAGGCCAAAAAAATGGCTGATGCTCCGCAAGATTGTATTTCAGTTAATTATATATATTAATAAATATATAAACCAACAATAAATATTGGAAACTTGTTAAAAACAAATCATCTTCTCTTGGAAGAGAACTGTGCTCTGGTATAGCTAAATTTGATGGATATGTTATTCTAAACAATATTAACAGCAGAAGAAGTCCATGCCGTGCCACAAGTTTAAAAAAGCTGTATTTATTAAAAACAATAGAAACATCTTTAGCAAACCAACCATGGCAACCCTCATAAGAATGCACGAATGTTGGCGTGCCTAGCCGAACACCCTCGCACATCCCACTGCGTTACGCCGTAGTCTGGTAGCCTTATAATTGAAATTAGTCTGCACTTAATATGGATAGTGGATGGATACATCTGCCCCGCACGTTGCGTAAACAAAAAATAAAGAGAATGAAAGTTCGTCATTCTCTTAGTATTTCGAAATTCAAGGAACGTATATATTACATATCACTCAATCTCAAATAATGCTTATGCGAGATCGTATCACCAATAAAATGAAAAGAACTTCGAACACTAATATCACTTGCTTTGGTGATGGAGCAATACAAAATACTTTTTTATTTTAATAATTTATTTTTGACATTCACCGTTGAAGTTCCTGTTGATATATTTTGTATAAATAACCTCTTTTTAGTCGTGGTGGTGGATCCTCTTTTCTATTTTCTATTCGCCACCAAAAGTTTTGGTTTATCAGTCCTATACTTGCATATATAATTTACACCTGCGAAACTGCAAATGTTTTTCACTATTTTATTTGAATTTCAGAAATATTTCCGACATATTCAAGTGTTTGCGATAATTATAATCATTAAATTGCGCCTGCCACTTTCAAAGCGAATCCGTTAGCAAATCAAAACGCCACAACCAAAACAACATTTTAATATTTACATTAATTTTCGTACGACGAAAGAATGTGAGTAATATTATTTTCAAGGGCATCCGTGTATCTCTAATCGGTAAATTCTTTTTGACAAATTTATATAATAGTGCAATAAACTCGAAAATATTTTTAACGCGAATTGATATGCTAATTGAAGTGCTTGGACGTGCCCATTAATTTCGTGCAAACAATTATCAATTGAATTTCTGCTGTAAGAAACAATTAATCACACTGTAAGACAGACATTCGATTAGAGTTATTCGGTTTCGCGGTTATTCAAATATCCAATTTTCAAGCAAACAGCTTTCAAATGGTTCCAGAAAAAAGTGAGATACCCTAATTTTACTACAAACGAATTCGTGATTTAGCAACATCATTTTTTAATAAAAATTAAAATAAAACAACAATAAAAATGAACATTTCCATAGTGGTTTATGGTTATGTGTACTTTTGCATACAGATATCCATAATATACATCCATGAATGTGTGCTGGATATTGTATGGATGTTTCATGGAAATACGTTTGTCCCAAATTTAGATATAATTCCGTTTTAGAACGGACGTCCGTGGACTTGATATGGACGTTTTTAAAATGTGCTATATACCCATAGGACGTTCATCTAAAACTTGCGAACACCTAATCGCTACTTTTGCATATTTGCTTATATTAGCCAATTTCTATTCGCAACTTATATTTAAAAGTATTCCCGAAAAGTTAAGATGTTTATTTGAAATTCAGTATAAATATTCTAACCTTTATTAAAGGAATCTATTGAAAAATGAACAGGTATAGATCTACTAGGTGATTAGATTAACGATATCGATAGCTTAGATAGTAGCAGCATGCTAAATTTACTTTAATTATTGGAAAAGCTGCCCTAGCGATGATTATGTAATGCCATGGAATTATTCAAATATTTGCGGCTTTCGACGAATTAGTCATATTTCCCTTACCCTTGACTTATTATTTCAATTAGTATAGGTGAGCTATTTCCTCTTTTAAGTCTTCAATTCATCCCAATTCAAGAGAGGGAAATAAGACAGTTCAAATTTAGATATAACCTAGTTGCAAGAGGAAAATTTTGAAGGGGTATTTTGTGATTTATTATGCCGGAATTTAAAGAAGTCACAGAAGATAGACATTATACTTACTTTTGTAACGTAACATTGAAGAAACCTAGTTCAACATCTTTATAGGGAAATATGATAAATCAATTTATTTAAAAAAAAACAAATAAAAATATGAATAAATATATAAGTTGTAAGGTGCGTACTTTTCTTTATCTTTAACACAGTTTTGTACGTTTTTATAGACATCATTTCATAAAATATTTATTTAAAATATAGTTATTTAAAAAGTAGGCAATAAAAGAGAAAAACTGAATAAATGCCGTTTCTTTTTATTATATATCTCACTTATTAACTTTTTTATTCAAGAGTGTAAAATCAACGGTCAAACTGCCTCTGACGATCGAGACGTAGTATCGGATGATCCATGTTTGAAGTGTCGATGCAGCAAAGGAAGGATGACCTGCGCCAAAAAATCCTGTCCCGTTCTTCAATGTCGCCCAAGTATGCAACATCATCCACCAGGTAATTGATAACCTTCTGTAACCATGTAGTTTACGTTTTATATCGGTCAATGAAGAACTACATATTTTTAGATTAGTTTTTTTAGCAGTTTAAAGTACAATCAATTTCTTTGTACCAGGTGAATGCTGTCCAAGGTGCAAAGGTACACGAGCGTTGATCGGTTCCCCTAACGTTTGCACCCTGCAAAACACTCTAAGTCGAGAGGGTCAAGAAATAAAAATAGACAAGTGCACTGAATGCGTCTGCTTAAATAACACATCCATCTGTAGCAGAGCCGCCTGTCCAATTCTGGAATGCTCATCCGACTTGCAGAAATCTTTACCCGGAAGTTGTTGCCCGATATGCACGAAACCGATCATTGAAGAAGTAACCAGCCAATGCTATTACGGTGGAAATTATTATGAGGCAAGTATTTTTAAAAAATAGAAATATCTATAGCTTAACCCAAAGTCCTCTATTTTTTTGAACACGTATTAAAAATTTAGGCCAAATTAAATGATGTAAACTGTAAATGAATTCCTGCATGTTATGCAACTCCTTAAGTCAGAACGTTGCTTTCTAACACTATATTTTTCTACAATCATTAAGCTCATATTTTGTTCAGTGTTTCTGCGGTGTTCCACAAATTCTGGGAAGTCATATAGCTTACTGCGACAAATTTGGTTACTTGAGGAGTTGGTTGAATAGTTCATTGGTAAATTGTTGAGAGAGTGATAAATAAATCAAATATCGATGTCGATTTTCAAAAATATCAGTGTATTTAGGCGTTTTACCAATGACCAGTTTCCCATCAGTCATAGAACATCCTTTCTTTTAATAAATGTGTCCAATTTTCATTACTAAGAGAGATTTGAATGTTAGGTTGCCGTTCTTTTCTGAAGCTGCCGTTGATTATTGCAAAAACAGTAAAGAAATTTCAATTTTTTTCATCATACAGGTTGATATAATCATAGTTTGTTAGGTAGGATGGTAAAGTTTGGCCACTCGAGAATCCGTGCAGTTCTTGCAAATGCAATCGGGGTCAAATTAGCTGCGCGAAGACAAGGTGTAACACAACTTGTACTTCGGGAATGAAAGAAATTCACGTGCCTGGAGAATGTTGCTCCAAATGCGTGGAAGGTACTACTGCAACATTATTTAGAACGCAGGAATATAAATATAGTTATTATGGTTGCAGTGGAAGGAGTGTGTATGGTTTTTGGCGATCCGCATTACAAATCGTTCGACGGAAAAATATACACGTTCCAGGGCATCGGCAAATATCAATTGGTCAAAGATTGTCACAATGGTAGTTTTGCCATCAAAGTTGCAAATTACGTCACTAAGAGGTATTTGTCTTCACCAATTACTAGACGCGTTGCAGTGACGTTTGGTGATCTCCGTTTGAATTTACAACAAAAAGGCAGAGTAAAGTACAACGGGCAAATAATAAGCATCCCGTATAAGAAAGAAGGAAAATTTCGTGTGAAAAAAATTGGAAATAATATCGACATCACGTTGCAAAATGGTGTAAAGTTACTGTGGAATGGATACAGCTTTCTGGAAGTGACAGTTCCCGCAATTTTTCGAAATAAATTGTGCGGGTTGTGTGGAAATTTCAATTTAAATGTCCAAGACGATTTAAGAATGAAGTCTGGAAAAGTGGTAACCGACAGGGAAATTCTCAATTTTGGTAGTTCTTGGTGTGTGGGTAAGTACTTTTTTTTAGTGATAATCGCCTATAAATTTCGTTCATGTTTGATGCTAATGAAAACATCTAATCTTCTCATGAGCAACAGTTTTTGCAATTCCAGATTCTATTGAAATCAAATTTTATTTTCTTTTTTACAAAATAATACAAAATTTATATTAAAATAAATAAGAACTAAAAGTTCAGATTTTCACGAAATTATATATTTTGACATGACAATTGTTTCGACAACACCGTGCCTTTATCAAATGTCACATTTGATAAAGACACGGTGTTGTCGAAACAATTGTTATGTCATAATATATAATTTCGTGAACATCTGAACTTTTAGTTCTTATTTATTTTGATAAATGGATTTTCATCAAGTAAAAGCCATCTCAGTTCAAAATTTATATTGATTTTGTACAATTTATGATATAATTGTAAAAAAAATTTGTAAACGCAAGTGGTGAAAAATATTTACCAGTGTCACTTTTCTGGATAACCTTGTCTCTAAAAAATTGTCTCTTTTAGGTATCAGCTTCAACACGTCCTACAAGCGCATTTTTAGTTATTATTTCTAAATTTAAGGAGAATCATAACGAAAATACCACCAGTTGGTCATCTTTACATGCATTATTAGGCATGCTGTGTTTCACTTGTCAACACGCATAGTAGTGTAGCCACAAAGTCGTTTTAATTACTTTGAATCCAAAAATGTCGTCATACATTTAGTTTTGTCGTTTTTTGGTGTTGGTTGTGTGAAAACTTTAAATTAAACTGTACTGAGATTCTTATTGAAGATAGATTGAGTAGGGTTGCAAATCTTTATTCAGCGCCCTAGATGTTTGTATCCAATACAAAACAAGCTATATATAGTATATAGTGTAAAAACAAGTTTAAAATTGTCCGCTTTGCTTTCTTTAAAAAGTTGCAATGAAGAAGTTTTGCCAAAATCAAAATATCTTAAATTAAGCAAATAAATAAATAAATGGAAATCAGAAGCTACAAAAACTTTTTGCTAAATAATATAGACTGCATTTTATAACTAATGCTGTCAAAACGCACACTGCCTTGATGATCGTCTTCACAATTCCCCTGTTGCCACACCTGCCACCAAATCGCGCGCCACAAGGACACATCGAAAATGGAGTTTCAAATCCTTTTATACGTGTTAAATCTTATTCTGTGATTTATTTAAATGATTTCGCACATCTTGTTGGTCGTTCAATCGTATTATTCAAATAACCATCGATTTTAAATCTCCTTGTTTGGACTTCTATTGCCTTTGCTTGTATCTCCAACCCTTAGCAAGAGAAAAGAGAAAAAATAGAGTTTGTTGAAATTAAATTGAAGTCAATATACAATCGGCATCACAGTGAGATCCACATTCCCTAATTATTGAGAATCTAAAATATATAAACTTTTTAAATTATGCTTTCTTATATTAGCCAATCAAGAAATTTCCCTTTCTCTCGCCCCTGTCAATTCAAAGAAAAAGTTCGCTTTTTATTTGACATTCCACATATAAAGTTCCGCTTCCTAGTGACAGGATTTTGTGCCTAAATCTTTCGACTTATCTAATGTAATATAAACTATGTCGTCTTGTTTAGGCAAGAAAAATGAATGCGCCAAGAAAAACAAGTTACTGAACAACAACACTTGCGTCAAGAATCGATCGGATAATGTTGCCTGCAAATTTCTTATGAGTCGTCACTTCCTAGCGTGTGAGTCCAAATTGAGTTACTTGAAGTATTACAAAGCGTGCAAGATGGATATGTGTCACTGTCCTAGTGGCAGGTGTTACTGCGAGAGCCTTACGGCTTATGCCAGGGAATGCGAAAGATTTGATGTTCGCCTGGGAAATTGGCAAGAGTAAGTTTTGTTCTGCTTATTTAATTTTTAAAAGCACGTTAATAGTTGATATTTTATTAGATTCTTAGCGATCCTTTCGTTTCTTTTTTGTGTATAAAACTGCCATGGCTACGGTGTATTATTTAATTGAAAATTGATATTTTAACCCACTTTTTTTTTCTTTCAGATTTAGTGGGTGCGATTTCGGCCTATTACGACGTTCAAGCAAACATCACCGAAAGTTTCAAAAATCAGATCCAGAAGACAACCTTTTGGAGTATAATCCAACGAATAATACTCGAAAACAGCACAATCACAAAGTGCAAAATCATCGTCTACCAGCAGATCTTCTAAGATATAAGCCAGAACACATCAGTCGAAGTAAATCAATTGCGAAAAGTCGCAGTCCGATACCTTTGCAGTAAATCAAAACAAACTAAGAATTATTATAGACGGCTAGTCATTTTCAGTATTTTTCTACGTCGCCTGCCTACTTAAAGCGCGCGTAATGTATATAATGTCATTTATGGAGGAAGTATTATTATTGTTTTAAATTGCGTAAAAATGTTTTGTGTGAAAGGGTAGTAATATTGAAAATACGGCATACCTAACTAAAATTGCAATGGTCCATAATTATATTGAATTGATTATAGTTAAAAAGCGAATTTTAATAGCAAATGAACGCTTCAAATGACTGGGAAACTTTTGCTAATTGAAAGTTTCGTGTTGTAAATGAAATAATGAAACAATCAAATAAGAAGTTGTCTATAATTAAAAACTTTCATAATAGGTATATGCCCTTACTCGAAGAAGTAATAATTACTACTTGCAAAAAACAATGTATAGCTTGACCCTGGTATCCATATATCAATTAAATTATAAGGTAGCGCAATACTGTGGCGAAGTCTCCCTTCTTTCTCACAATTGAAAAAATGGTTCAAAGTGCTGTATAATTTCACATAATCATGACGTTGTTAATAGAGTACAATATTTATGATTTTTCCCTAAAATGTTTATGTGACTCTGTAATTGTTTTTGTATTTTCATGCAAAGGAGCTTACTTAATGGAAAATTTTTTGTTCACTAGCGACATTCATTAAAATTCAGACAAAAAATTGAACAAAATGACGCTTTTTCGGACAAATGCAGAAAAGTCATAAAATCATATTGTTTGCCTTTTCTTACTCCTCCGGTTGATACTATACTAATAATACCTATCTTCCGCAACCTCCCATATTGTCCAACGTGCAACCTTTATAATATAAAAAATAGACTTCAACATAGTCAAATATTATTTTATGTTTTCTCACGTATGAGGATCCAAAAGTTTTTGCCAATTTGCTAACTTACAACTACTTTTTATGTTATTGGAGGCAGTGAATCTAAAAATGTAATAAAGTACATGGTACACTATTTTTATTTATGTATTTATTTTTCTTAATGTATATATACTTGTTGGAAGCGGCAGTATTCAAAATATTTCAGTTCTGCAAACGTCAAACCTACTATGATATGGTAGAGAAATACCACTAAAATGATAGAGGTGCAGTAAATAAACACGATACACTAGTTAACCACAGTCAATAAGTTTAGAGTTTTCGAGATCATTGAGAAATCTGTTGTCTGAGATAATTAATCAGGAGTATCATTTAACTCTGGGTAAAAAATTTGGTTATCCTAAAGTTAATTTTCATATCATTTGATGCTATCCTACAAATCGAAAGTTATAGATCATAATAATCAAAAATATATACTGCGTTCATTTCACAAAATATATTTATTATTATTTTTGATCACCACTTTTGTTGGACCACCTTAAAATATTGAAAGTACTTGAAGTTATTCATATATTGAAACATTTTTTCTAAATAATTTGCCACACTATTGTGCTACCCTGTATGTGTGTGTTTAGGTTTATGGCACGCCAGATGAAATTTAATAAAAAACATTAAATTTAAATTTATCTTCTGAGAAAATTTCCCCTTCTTTTGACGTACAAATTAAATTGCATAAATAAATTACAAAGACAAATTAGATGTCTTTATAGAATCGTGCTGTAAATAAATAACCCTTTGTATATTTAATTAAGTTGTAATTTATCTATATTGTTAATTGAATCCAAAGTGAATGACACTCTTGAATTAAGTATTGTTTGAAGACAAAACTTTTCCATAGCGTTTTTTTTTTACCAAAGACATGTCACTTGCACTTAATGTTTTCTAATTTCCAAATTGTTTAACTTTTAAACAATTGTTTTGTATATACGTTTTAGTATGTCCATGTTAGATTTATTGGTTAAGACGATCTCTGTAATAGTTTATTAATTAACCTATTTAAATTTATAAAACACACGTAGTTGTTCCTAAATATCCGTACAAGCTTGTAGGGAGTTGTATCTCAGAAACGTTGTCAAAACTCAGTCAAGTCATTTGCTCATGTATGTTTTTTTCACAATAAATAAGAACTAAAAGTTCAGATTTTCACGAAATTATATATTTTGACATGACAATTGTTTCGACAACACCGTGTCTTTATCAAATCATCACTTTTGATAAAGACACGGTGTTGTCGAAACAATTGTCATGTCAAAATATATAATTTCGTGAAAATCTGAACTTTTAGATCCTATTTATTTTGATAAATGGATTTTCATCAAGTAAAAGCCTCCTCAGTTCAATTCTATTTTTGTTACTATTGCAAATGTTTTTTACTTATTTTTCCTAATAATGCTAGGTGTATATATTTTTTACTACAAATCGTGATAAATTGAAATTAATTTTTATTGAAGAATAACTTATTTTGACTGCGTTTCTGTGAAAAATGAATGTAAAAATTTAAGAGAAATAAATTTGATATCGTGATATTCTAGGAAATATTTATAGAATTTCACCACAAAATTGAGAACAGTTCCATGTTTCTATTTTGTTGTTTATTCGCGTAGCTATTAAGATTTAAATTGGTTAGCCTCGAATTTTGTGAATTTTCTATCTAATACGTTATCTAGGTAACTTATCAAATAATCAGTTTACGTCCATAGCTTAGTTTTATTTGTAAAATTTTGTATTTATATATGTACAATTCCTAAATTATTAAAGGTTATGTGTAGGATTAACATTTTTTAAATAACTACTTGATGTTAGTATTTTCACATCTTATTGAAAAGCACATTAATTAGAAAAATACTTTTTGCATTTTTTTATAAATTCCGTAGAACTTTGTGCCTAATAAATATATTAACGATTTCAGGCTTTATTTTATAAGTTTGCAGAGTGATTGCAGAATTTATTATGACCGGAAAAATATTCAATAATTTATTACAATAAGTAAATCTTTTGCTCTATAATGGATAATTTCTGTCCTTTAGACTTTTTTAATAATATATAAAAACATCTGTAGAATAATAACTAACGTTCAATTTTCTATATATTCCAAGTGATAATATTGGGGCTGTGTTTTTATAAATTTTAAGTCGTGCAATAGCCAGTTTTGTCAAACTGCGTCTTTTGGTCGCACAAAATTAAGTCTTAGGAGCAAAAAACTATTAAAACAACCATAATTAAAAAAAAAAAAGAAAACTGCATAAATTGATATTGGAGAAGAAAACTCTAATAAACCAAATAAAAATAAAAAAGATATGCATATTAAACTATTAAAGAAACTATCTAAAAACAGATATGTTGTTTAAGAACTAGGTTCCATATTACCGAAATAAGATGAGAAGAGCACACAATAACAAAAAAAACGAACCAAAACTAACAAAATAAAATCGACTATTCGAATTTTATATAGATTTTTCTTAAAACGGGATTATTGGCTAACTAAAAAAACATTTGGCAGTATTACCAACCTAAATCTGAAGAATCAAATACAAACAATCAATGGGGTGATGTTCTGATAAGTAAATTAACGAGCCAACTGTCCCATTCGGGAATACGGGGCATTATTAACAGATCAATGTCATTTATAAAAGAATAACAGGCATCCTTGATTGTGATTATTGATATTAATCAAAATAAAATTAACAATGAGCAACCAGATAACAATTTACAACAAACTCTATTAGAGAATTTCACTAACCTTACGAAAAAATGTGCTTATAAATATTATTAAATTGCGAAAATAAGAAAAGAACCAGTAGATCCTAATTGAGCCAAAGAAACTCTTAGCAATCTGTAGAAATGTGACAATGTAGCGGAAATGAATAAACACTGCTAAATTTAAGTCCAAAATATGATTTTAATATCGCCCTAAGATCGAAATTATATCAGGAAACTCTTATTGTCGTTGACATCGTTTTTATTGTTACTTAGGCGCCATAAAAGGCGACCTAAACCAAATTAAAATTGATACAGTGAATTTAGATGAAGTTTGAAAAGTCTACCAAGACCAGTAGAAAGAAAGAAAGGCGAAGGCGTCTGCTATGGCACTAGTCCGACTGATGCCCAATAAGAACGGACCTACTCCATAATGCTTAATGGAGCACCAGTTTGGGAGTCAAAAAAAAAGGACCGCAAATATAGATACTTGCTGGTACCGATCCAATGAAAGCTATGTTTTTCAAACCGTGTCAACTAAGGAAGCTCTAGTCCTTGCCAGTCTGGTATCTGCAGACCTGTGGGGCCAGGAAAGAACTAACATTTACAATAATATGAAACGCCGATACCAGGAAAGAAGTACGATTAAGTACGCTTGTACCATCTTACGCAGTTCTTTACTGGGCATTGATGCTTCTGGGCCTACTTCTTCAGATTCAAACTAAGCCCCATGTCATAATGTGAGTGCTGTTGAACCGAATAAGCGGTATGGCAAATAGAATCATCACCAAAAAAGAATTAGAAGAAAATGTATAAATTAAAAGAAACCCGTAGCTAAATATACAAGACTGGACTGCGCAATGCTGAAATACCGCTGGAAGGTTCCGTCACATTTAACAAAGAGTAAATAAATGTATTTCTTAGTCGGTTTATAAAATATATGTTACCAATTGATATAAGAAGCAAAAAATCTTCAGAAAATTTTAAAAAAATTGTAAAATAAACAAAGAAAAAACACACAAAATACATTTTTGCTAATTAAATGTTCACATCTTATATAAGTAATTTGGTATAAATTTGTCAAGCAAGTATACAAATCAAAGACTCATTCTTATCTACTTGTAAATGATGAATTTTAGTTAGTTTGCTTAGGTATATTTTCGAAGTATAAGCATTGTCCTGTGCTCTGGTGGAACTGCTAAACATTTGTCTTGTGAAAATTTTAAACAATAATGCTTAAATTACAGAGTCCTTATTATTGTTAAAAGTAACTATAAATTTTAAATTATACAACATTTTGTGAACTTGCATTTTACTCGCATATCTGCAGATACAGATTTGCAGATATTGGAACTCGTCTATGTTATATACTATTTTAATTGAGATTGTACAGCCGTTTAACCAACCAATGACTGGTTATTTTACACTATTTGTATAAAAAGTAAACAACATAAATGGTATTTAAAAAAAATATGTTCGTATGATCACATTTATTTACCACAAATACATGGATTTAGGGTAAAAATAATTTAAAGTCTATCTTACACATATAATTTTAAAGTTAAAAAATTATTGCGTTTCTTTGTTTCAATCTTTTTACTATAATATAATCAATTGTGGGGGAACTCGTATAAAAATTTCTCTTCGCTAGCTTTATAAATTAAAAAAAAAAACTTAAAATTGCCCACTTAAAGTGCACACAATTTAACAGTGTCAGTATATGTATTATGAAACATTTAAAAAAGAACACAAGAAACGAATAATGAATAAAGCATTTTTTAAGTTATTACCCAATAGTCGAAGAAAAATGTGTTCTTGTTAATAATATCAAGTAAATATTTTTTTACATTAACAGTCTTCATTTTTCTTTTGTACACATTGATGTATCTCGATCTATATGTATCTCAGTCCTAATTCCTATTAAGCATTCATGTTGTACTAATGCTTAGAATTTTTACAATTGCATCTAAGTGAGTAGAAGATATACAAGGAATCACTGACAGACAGATATTTTGATTATTCCAATAGGGTATCTAAAATTTATACTAGGTTAAATTAACAAATGAAGGTAATTTTGTCATCTAAACCGTTGTTTGCATAAAATTTTAGAGCACCAACTAAAATATAGACTACCGATTTTTAACCAGAGTTGCTGAATAAAAAACCTTAGTAAAGGAGGTAAAGAACTAGAAATAATGTCTATTTTGCGGTGCATGAAGAGAATTGCATAGGTAATGCTGCCGAAGTCATCGTAAAATGCTACATTAAAAATTATAATTAGATTTTAGTTAGTGCTCGAGCTTTTACTTAGCCTGTTTTCTGTTGATTAGTACAGATATTTTTCAGTTATAACGAAAATGAAATGGCACATTTTTAGATAATACATCAACTTTTCAATTGTAAAATGACAATGATCACGAAAAATAGAATCAATATATAAATAATTTACTTGCTACAACACACATTAGCACGATAATAGAACGATAGAGAAAGAGTCTAGAGAAGGGAATTACAAGAAATCTTTTTTTTTTCTCATCATGTAATCTTCAAATTTCGTTTAAAATAGACATTCACACATACTTTGTCGTTGGTATTATCGGTGACACAAGAATGTTCGATAGTTGTAGAACGGTTTCGTGTAGCGATTTCATATTATTAGTCGATGGATTCTTAGTTTGGGTGTAAATGACTGAATTATTTTGAATCATAATCATTCAGGCGAGCCGCATAGTCGCCGTTTCCCCTCAAAACAGCAATATAGAAATTGAGTGCAATCCAAGAGTTACAGTCCTTTCCTCTGATATCGGAAAAGGGTTGAAAATTTTAAACTTTTAACTATATTAAAGACGAAAATATTCAAATCGTTATCATGAACTTTTTAATAGTTATAATAAAGTGTCCTACTTTCTTGTGTCACTCGGTATATTAGGTTGTTGCTGCCTATCATATTTGTACAGTGCGAATCAATATTCTGACAAAGTACTATATCTCTCCTCTTTAAAAATTGCTTCACACAAACAAATATTTCAATTTCTACAGGACTTCATACAACCGTAGCTATATTTTTTTATATTATGATCCATATCTTACAATTTTCAGCCTTTATAATTTAAAAATAGACCTTAAGAAAGATGTATTAGGTATTAAGAGGTAATTAAATTCTTAGGCATGTGTTTCTTAAAAGTCTTGCCAATAAAGTTGAACTAATGTTTTTGTCATTTTGTAATTAATTATATAAATTTTGGTAAGATTCCTTAGCAATTTTAACTTAAATAATCGATTTATTTCGATTTTTACAAAATGTTGTTCCTTAAAGCGAAACTTTATTTGTTAAACGCACAAATCGTTTAAAAAACGAATTTATATTACGTATTTTCGTATGACTTACAACAACACCAATTTCGGCCAGTAGGTACTCTGGTCACACATATACTGGCACTGTCGGTAATGAATATAACTCTTAAAAACAAATATAACAAAAAAAATTAAACCAATAGAGCAGACCTTAATGCAAGTGAGAAATTTGAGCACTGGATAAGATTCTACTAAAGCTTCTGTATAATACTTTTCGTTTTCTCACATTTAAAAGGCAGTATATTTGGAAAATATGTAAGGTGTAAAATAAGCATTTGTTGTAGGAATCATAATATGGTCTGTTCCATTAAAATTATTTGTTTTTTATTAGTAGTGTGATCATGAAACATCCCGTATAATTTAAATGGCATATGTTTTATTTTATTAAAGCAATTTTTCAAAATAGATAATGGAAGATATGGTACCTTACCAAAATATTGCGCCACTCACCATAATATGTAGATAATTTTGAGGAAAACAGTATATTCCATTAAAAATTCTTAGAAGTTACATTGCTTAATTACTTTTAAAAATTAACAAACATGCATATTCTTCCAACACACATACGATTTAATAAAATTTATAGTATTTGTTAACTTTGGTTTATGCTTAGGTATATTTATAATTTACAATTCAAAATATTACGTTTAAACACAGTCAGACAAGATATCAACCTATTGCATTAAATATAATTTTGCCTTAATTAATAAACTTAATCCTAGAAAAATCATCATTTATAAAAAGTCATACAGCTAATTCAATCACATTTTTGATATGTGCTTAATTTGTATTTGATATGTTTAGTTTCGAATGCTGTTATTTCGAGCTGGAGTTATTGAAGATATTCACATAGTTTTACCGGCGGGCAACCCATGATAACATAGATAATCTCATTAAAAAATCTACTTCCATCTCTTGATAATTCTATATTATCAAATAGGCAACCTATATTTCCACCAATATGACAAATGACTCTGAAATCATACCAAAACATCCCAGTCAACCGATAAACTTAACATTTTTTCTAGAGTAGAATTTCATTACCGAAACCACACATTATAATCATCTATCAATATTATCCATCAAAACTGAATCAGCAACAACTTGACTATAACAAATATTTCACTAAAAGTTATTCCAACGAAATTGAGATAACCATCGCCTAATTTGGAATGGAGTCCCATATTACGTCACTTCATTAATATGTGGATATATGTGTAAGCTATTATGGTGTAAGTATACTTTCTATTGCTTTGTAACTATAATTCGTAAATCGGCTAAAACAAAACAGTTGTAAACAAATATTATTGGTTCGTACTGTTAAGTATTTCTTAATTCATTATGCTTGTAAATTTTAATTCGTCCGCTTTATGATCAGAAACAGAAGTAATATTGAAATTTGTTATTGGTACCGAGGTACCAGGAACCAATTTTATTAGAAAAATTGAGATTTTTTTTAACATAGAACATTTTATATGCTGTCGCCAGCAAAGATAGTGCAAATTTTTATTATTTTACTTGACATGGTCTTATAGGCACTTTACATAGGAAACGTACTTGTTTTACGCCCCGTAATTCAAAATTTTTAAACATTATATTTAAAAAATTCAAATTTTTGTCATCCTAATAGTGCTTTGATTGAAGGCAATCAAAACTAAGAATAAAAAAAATAAAGCATATACGTGAAAAGCATTGCTATAGTATATATAAATTGCAATCCATCAAAAATTCTGAAATCACATTAACTGGTTTCAAGTAGATTAACGCCTGAGAGGCAAGAATTTTTTTTTCATATGCTACAGCAGTACCCGATTTTCTTGAATTAATTTTCGTTTTCCTGAATAAATGTGAAATTCAAACGCGAGGATGTTCTATAGAAGACGAGATTTTGATAAATATATATAGGTCCTCGGTTATTTTCAGTCATATTTACACTTGACAGCTAATAGGAAGAAGCATAAATACCGCATTCAACTGTAACGTCCAATGACGTTAACATCAAAATGACCAAAATCAGCAAAAACCAAAAACTCCCATCATTCGCTTGAGTTCTGTCTAACGGATTGAAAATGCATATTGATTTTGTATTGCAAATATTATTTAAAACTATTTAAAAGTAGTAATGTTTTCTTTACAAGTTAATAATTAAAAGCAGTCGTGTAATTAACATTTAAGGGAAATATTGTTTGATCATTGTCAGTAGCACTTTTCAATTGGGAAACTTTCTTCAATTGTTTCGCACCGTTACCATTCCAGATTTCGAAAGTTGTAAGAAATATCTATCACAACGGGAAAAACAAAAGGTTACTATATATAGAACTAGATGCTGAGAATAAATTTTTAAAATATAGTTTTATTTAAAAAAAAAAGGTGACTACTTTGGCTTTTAGATTATTAAGAACTTGAAGCTATTTAATGTGGTTTTAGAATTTAGTAGAAAAGCGGTAGAGGTATTTCGTGCACTGCACAGTATGAGCTAAAACTATGACATAGTTAAAACGTATTTCGGTCACCACCATATTGTCAATATCAACTTAACATGTATATTTATTTTGGAAATTAACAAAACTCTAATAGAATAGGGATTTTAACATAAACTTAAAAAACATTCTAGTAAAAAGTCAACTTTTTTCTTTTTTATTGTGTAATAAGCGTTTGCCTAATGCTTCCTCTTTATTTTTATTTCTTAAATTTTAATAAAAAACTTTCGCTTACGCAATTCAAATATGAACAAAATTTCAGGTTCAGAATCAAATTTGATTAGCAGTACCGTAAGACCCATTTGCTCTCTTACACAACCCTACTGAGGCGATCTTCTTATCCATTGTACATACATGTACTTAAACCTCTCCTTTATTTACATATTGTTTTTTCCCATTTTGAGATTGGAGCTCTTCTATAATTAAAAGACAAATCAAACACATTTTAAAAAATCAATCATCAACATATTCGTAATAAATTCAACCAACTCGTTTCTTGGAAATCAAGTTGAGAATTCAGAAAATATTGTCGGGCAAGATAATAATGTTTGCCTCTGTACTCGTACTCTTTTGTGACTGAATGACGGAATAACAAAATAAATGTCATTTAAATTCGTTATTTTTATCACATCAATATTTTGTTTGTATCATCAGCCAAGTTACTGCAATTACTATTTTCATTAGAATGTCAAAATGAATTAAGAAATACGACAATACCTACAAAGTTCCAATGTGGATTTCACTTCATACAATAATTAAGGCACTGATCAATATGATCAAACCGAAAACCAGGTCCACATATTCTCACAACAATTAATATACAATTTTTCATTATAATTAACTAATTTACTTAAGCGGTAAAACAGATTTTGAGGTTCATGATATGTTTTACTTGATATGTATTTTTTTAAAAATAGTTTTACTCTATATATATACGATATGTTTTATCGAAAACTCATACCATACAAATAAATTGCCGCTTACACATTAGTTGCTATTGTGCCCCCTTTTAACATGTGTTGTAAATAAAACGAAGCCAACAAATTCACAAGATTACCTTTTATAGGTAAATTAATTTGAGCAATCATCTAAATTTAGGATATTTTTTTCGCATTTAGTTATAATAGGCCTAATTTAATTCAACAATTTTTTGTGCTCTTGGTGTTTCTTGTTCAATTTGCGCTAAATCATTGATTAAAAAAACACTAAGGCTATTAATCCTCCGGCCAGCCTAGATCCTCACCAATCAACTCATAAAACTTTTGATTGTGTTCCCCAAAATACTCCCTTAATTTAGATACTACATCCGGGTCTACCCTGGGGTGTTTTCTTCCCTTCGTTTCCCTTAAACATCTATCAGATGTTTCATTTCGCAAACAATAGAAACCTTTCGTTTCATTGAAATAAAAATTGTGACTTCCAATTTTCGGTTCGAGTCCAAGAAATCGTTCAATCTTCTGAAGCTGTGGTACTGGGTCGTCGATTAGTAGATCTCCGTTTACTATCAACAGCTGCTCCCGAGGGAAAACCTAAAATAAGAAATTGTGTATGGAATAACGAGCCTCACGCTATATTGTTCACTTAAATTTACTCCATTTATCAAACACATAATGAATGCAGACGGCGAAAAATGCTATATTTTTCTGAATTTTGTGGCAGAATTAACTGTACTACATAAAGTTGGAAATAACAATCAACAAAACTCAAAAAATATGCTTATTTATTTATAGAAATAATTATTACTTTGTAACGGCACTGCACGATGTTTTCTACGAAAATAAAATATGTCTATTAAATAAAAAGTCTTTCTGGGTCTGTATTGTCATTTGGTAAAATTTCTAAAATTACGGTTATCAAAAACTAATAATTGAACCCCAAAATGGTAAATTTCACGATTTCAGTTGCAAAGAAATCATTGTCTTAAGGCATAAACCAAAATGTCTCAGGTAACTAACGGATTCGAAGTTTTTAATTAAGAGAACAGAAATTAGTTTTTACTATGGCATAACTGGATATGAATCATCAAAGCCCAGCCCCAAACAGTTTTGTTTCGTATTTGCCTGTTTCGCGTTAAAGAAGCAGAACCAATACCTAAATAAAAAAAGCTGAGTAGGTAAGTCTTTTTGGTTTGTTAATTGTGTCACCCTTTCTAAAGGTGTCCCGAAGTTCGATAAAATGAAAATTTAAACGGAAATTGATGCTATTGTAATTGTGAATATAACGCAATATCGGAAATGTTTTTACAACGGTATCTTTGGAATGGAAATTATTTATGGAGCATTTAATGCAGAATACAGGGTACTTCACACTTAAAAATAGTGGCATTTGCATTTCGGTCATTCTACCAAGCTAAAAGTTCATTTACCCCTGTCGCACAACTAGAAAATAACAGCAAAACTGTTTCGTTTCCTAGTAATAATTTCATACAATTATGTAAGGAATATTGAATAAACGAATTTCATATTTATTACAAATTACAAAAAACTTCAGAGAAATATGAAAAAACAACGACTGTAAATGTCAAACAAACAATCAATTGATTGTTATTTTTATTTATGAATGACACGGGTATGCTAAACAGTTTATTTTGATTATTTTTGAAATACCTTCCCTCAATCTGTTTCGGGAATATTAACAAAAACCCTTTTCAGGTCCATTCCTTTTATTGCCAGTGCACAAGGCCGTGTTAAGACAAGTTAGTACCATTGACACACTTTAAATTTTGAAAAACTCAATCATCTACAATGATATTATAAAATACTCTATAAATTAATTAAATCTAAAAAATAAAATTAAAAATTTAACCTCTATTTGGGGCACAAAGTGAAAATTAATTTATAGTAGAAAATTGAATTTGACATTTACATACAAAAATACTCACTATACATTTCAATGCTGATTTTTTATTGATTTAAAAAAAATTGTATTAGGATAGTTACATATTTTTATAACTCGTTTCAATTAATATCAATTTAAAACCATTTAAATTAATGTTTTATCCGAAATCTTTTTTACGTGCTGGTGTGATGTTGCGGCTTAGGCACACCTCGTTTCGAAATTAATCACAATGAATTTAATGGTAAAATTGCATTTTGCTAGCAATCACCTCTTTAGGTCAAGTAATTTTCAAAATTGAAATAGAAAACATCGGAAAAAATAATGTTCGTAACAGTTTATGTATTTTGTAACATAGCTCATATACAATAAGTTCGCATACCTCCAACCATCTGTGAAGATAATTATGATACACCGATATAGCTAACGGTCGGTATCCTTCATTCACGGTTCCGTTGGCATGAAGAACCAGTTGTTCAAATGATTTGGGGTTTGATATCGGAATATTAGTCGGTGACGCTGTTGCCGCGTTGGCACGCAACTGAGTGTAGTCAGAAATAGCTCTGGTTACAGGTTCACGCACGATGAGTAACAGTTTTGCGCTGGAATTCATTGCACGTATTCGTTCGGGTACCTACAAAACATGAGGCAAAATCTAAGATTGGCTAATGAAATTCAGATGTAAAAAGTTGCGGTAAGAATTTCGTCAGCAATTTTTACAACATCGACTTTTCTCCCAGTATCAGTCAACTAAAAAATAATAAAATATTTAAGCACTTACATTACAGCACCAGTTACTTGTAAATGCTGAAACTAAATTTTTATTTCTATTACTTTTATATTTTTCATACTAATCGCCTTGTAAAAAGTAGATATTTAATTATATTTATTTATTATTATTATATTTATTTGAGACAATGGAACACAGTTGGAAAAGAGCAATTGACTAACTACCGCGGTTGTAATAAAAACAAGGGTCACATGTATAATCATGAAGCAACAACATAAAATTGGCCTCACAAATGCGAATGGTCGTATGGAACGTACGTTTTAAAATTATGCAATGCTTAAAATGCAATTATAATCTTGCGAATTTGTGAGAAGTGACTTTAAAAATGCTACCTGCGACAAGCGGCGTTGGCACAATCACAAATGAAGAGGTAGTAAAACGGATGAATAAAAAAACAAAACTGGAAAAAGAAGATTCGAAAGATGCTAGCTTAAACTCATCCTATTATGCTGTTTTGCCAGCTTACATCGCCAGACCGTGGCACAACACTACAGAAAAAATAGTTTAGTTTCAGCATGCGTTGTGTTATGATTGTAAGTTTGATGAAATACACTTTTTTCCATTAGAAATCTTAGCGTTTTAGTATGTGAAATTGTAATGCATTTTCCAAGTATATAGTGAACATAATAAAACAACAAAATATGCATACCTCCGGCGTCACAAAATAACTTGGACTTTTCTCGATAGTTATTTGCCCGATGTAAGAATGTGGCATTTGCATCCTATACCATTCCAAGCCTTTATTATAATTCTCATCTCTGTCGAAGAAATGAACCTCTCCTGCAGCTTTCTGAATCAAAGGATGAAGGTACAACATTTCCAACAATGCCCTAGTGCCACATTTTCGAACGCCCATAATAATGGCCTGCAATAATTATTTCGACATCTTGTTAAAAGTTGCCTACGAGGTAGTTTAAGTTTTAGGCAAAGTTGCGTAACATTTCGTTTGCAAATTAAAGTTGATTTTGTTACTTTGGTACCAAGAATATGACAAACATTTTCGGTTTTAGATTTTATTTTGTGCATTGTTCAAGATAAAGATTCTCATTTTGACTTTCAATACTCCCCAATATTCATATTTGTAATTCTTATAGAGGCTACATAACAATTAATACGATATTACTTGATTTTTTGTTGTGACAGCAATTATAGCACAGCTTATGAATTTTACTGCCTAAATCAAATTTCTTAAGTATTTGCTGTTGAGTTACTCAGTTAAATATTTATAATTTTGAAAATGGCGAAATATCTTAGAACATCAAATCTCTTATAACAATGCTGACAAATACAGGCCTTCTGTTAAAGAAGATGAAAGTCGACTGACTCTCATAAAAACCTCTGTGTTCTCTGAATAAGTTATAAATTGTCCTGAAATAAACAATTTTAATGGATCCATATCCATATATTGGGTAAAAATTAAATTTTAATATTTTCTGTAAGAAGTTTAATTCACCTGTCTCAACGCAATAAAAAATATTTTATGAAGATCAGGGAGCAGAAGACGAAATTTACCTTGCTAATTAAAAACATCCCAGGAGCATACAGTTTAAATAAAATCAATAGACATCCCGTTTACAATTTACTCAGCGAACGCGAACTTCCCTTATTTTTTTTGTTAGAACCATCTTAATCAGTGGAGAAAATAATAAATAAGTTAGCAATAGTGCTTGAGTTTGTCCGCACTGTATAAGCTTCTTAAGGTTGGAACAAACCTTTTCCATTTCAAAATGGAACAAAGGTGCATGCGAGACATACTTTTAAAAAGTATTCGATTCTCTAACAATAACATATATTTTGGAAAATTAGTGTCCACCACCCAGGCAATGACAAAGTCGATGATAAACTTTTTTACGAAATTGGATGTGATTAGAAATGGATAGCGCTCCCTCTCACCTTCTCCAAAGGTTTGCAGTGTTCAAATTTTCCCCAGTGTTTTCAAATCTTACTACGTGGCCCAGCGATTTTTGAAGATCAACGTGGCATCGAATATATAATCTGCATCGTTTTAAATTTTGAAAAAAAAAAGTCTGGAGCTCCTACCTGCGGTAATCTTCTGATGGCTCTAGGGTACAACTTTCTAGATAGAAGAACTGGTGGTTGTTGAGTTTCGATATTCTCGGACTTATGAAGGCTGCTAAGGGCGCTATCGTATATCACGTGGAAAGTCAACACTAGCGAAAGGAGAACGACGGTGAGGAAGGCTAACGCCATCCTTGGACGGGTGACGCCGACCACTAAGATACAGTCGGAGGGGTCGCCTTCCACGGATCTTATTGCCGTTCGTGGAAGCCATCTACAAAATAATACAGTGTAACTGTAATACAAATAATATAAGAACTAAGCCACAAATTTAATGTTTTTAAGTAACTACCTAACCAGTCAGCCATTTGTTTTATCGTCCTCTAACTTCATGGAACATGACTGGAGAAAGCCAATTTACTATTGTACTATTTAACAATGAAAAAAAAAACATTAGAAGAAAAATAAAAACTAATTCATTTTATATTGGCATAAGAAGGAAATATATTCAAGTATTTAAGATCAATTCTTACAATTTTTATTTACTATTATAGCTCTACTTAATAATTATTTATCATCGGCCTGTATAAAGAGAAAGGTCCGTTTGCAGTTATTGCAAATGTTCTTGGGAAATCATGCCCCGATCTCTGTGAGTGTCTTTTTGCTATACAATCAATCCATCTTAACTGCTAAACATCCTGGACATTGAAAACTCGCCCTAATCGTGCCCATTTTGAAATCAGGTGATAAAGATCACATTTAGATAACTACAGACCGATCTCTCTCTTAAGTCACTTATGCAAGTTGTTTGAGTCACTTGTTTTGAAGCAATTATTCTTTATTGTTAAGCATATTGCATATTGACCCAAATCAGCACGGATTTTTTGATTAAAGATCACCATCCTTTGTTCAGTCAGTGAGTGACCATATGGAGCAGTGTTTCGAGACTTGCACCGTTTACACCGATTTCTTTAAAGTTTCTGATAAAATATGCCACCCAACTTTTGCCGTGAAAATGGAGAATTTCGGTGTTTGGCTCTGCCTCCTTAAAAGTTACTGGCGTGGCATTTGGGCTCCTTATTGGTCGCCATTTTCCTATATGATGTCGACCACTGCTTTTTACATAGTACTCGCTCCTTGTAAAAAAAGAATTAAAATTAGTTCACTCAGCAGCAGACTACATCTTGTTGCATAGAGACTTGTCAAATTTTGAAGAATATTGTTCTCTGACCAGATTGTTTGTTAACCCTGAGAAATGTATTTTGTTTACAAAAAACTTACCATAACGGTAAATTAAAAGTGATCCCTATTTAGATAACTACAAACTGAACTTTTCGGGCTCTGTAAAGGACCCGGATATTACATTCGATTTGGGACTTCTGTTTGAGATGCACTTAGAAAATATTGTTCAAAGAATTTTTAATAATAAAAATTTTTAATAATACATTTTTACAGTCTTTTATATAGTGTATTTCACATATATCGGACGGATGGAGAGTATACAACGAAAATTGGGAAAAGCTGTATACTATTGATTTAATAGACAGAGATATTTTTTTATAGTGAAAACCTTCATTTTTTTGTATGCAGCCTTTGGAAAATCGTAGAACAAATTTTAATTTATTAATTTGTATAAAGTTATAAACAATTTGACTGAATCTCCTTGCGTTTTGGAAAAAATATATTTTAAATGTAATTCCTATATTCTTCGAAACAGGCAAACCTTCGCTGTATCTAGGTATCACTCAAACTATTCTTCTAACCCTCCAATTATCAGATCTATTTGCCCTGAGCTTTGAAGCCTTTAAACGACACTTAAGACGGTATTCCAATTAACAGACTGCAATAAAAAGTTCTTAATTTCATTTAGCTTGCAAGGAATAATATAAACTAGTCCACTGAGTAAGTATCTTTTGTGTGTTATTTACAGCTGCGCCTGTCTATAGGAAAGAAATAAATACACACCACTGTGATATTCTCGAAAAACTATAAAGGAGTTTGTTCCTACCAACACCTAATGATTAATTTAAATTTAATAAATAATGCCAAAAAGTCCAAAAATGGCAGCCACGTTTCTTTAACACCTATTCTAACTTAGATAATGAACCATACGAGCTTAAAATATTCGTAATAGACAGCAATAGACAGAGCTCATAACATGACTATAAAAATAGGACTTTCATTTGAAAAAATCAAGCCATATTTATTTAAAAGCACTTTTTTCTACATTCGACAAGGTGGAGGTCACTGCAAATCAAAACTCACCATAAGGTGCGAACACTTTATAGCTTTTACACGGATCTATGTAGTTACTTGAAATTGGGAGGACTTAATATGGGCTAAATATGCAAATTTCGGATAATATGTAGTTATTGGTTGCTCCAACTTTAAGCGAAAATGATAATAACCTTTTCTTTTAATTTTTGAATTCAAAAGATTTATCTTACTATTTCTTTGATTGGATCATAAATTAAAAGTTATCTCTCGTTGAAAAGTTGAATCAGTTTCATTTAGAAATGGCAACAAAATATTCATGGCGATCGCAGTCACCTAGGTAGAATTGTCAACATCAAATTAAAAAATATATATGTGTTACTTTCTTTCTTGTGTCGCCCATAAGTATAAAGAATTTTTTGGAAAATTTTTTAGAATACTAAAGTCGGGCTAAAATATTTTCAAAATCGTGGCCATTCTAGTAGTATTCTAAAATTTCATCATAGGCGCCTTTTTTTAACTCTTAGAGAACTGTGAATTTTTGCCTCCCCTGCATTAGCCTCCTTTGTAATTTTAATAAATTGTTGGTCTGTTTGTACAAATGTACTAATACTAAAATGAAAAAGAAGGAAGTTAATGTTTATTGTATATGCCCCTACTTCGCAGATTATATTTTCTTGTGATGCGTAATAAGATTGAAAAGAAAGAAAATTATTCTTGAATAAATGGATGTCGATAAAGAATAATAGCGCATGTCTTCGCTTATTTCCATAAAATTTGAGATGCTTAAAAACAGACCTCGTCTAGAACAATTTATCAATATTCATTCTGCAATCTGTCGAATAAAAGCGTCAGCATCAAAGCAGGATGCAATTTATAATCTTTCTCTTAATTTGTTCATATTCAGTTTGCATAAGGCCTTTTAGTAAATGAATTATAACATTTTAGATTATTCTAAAACAGAATAAGGCAAGCTACGGTAACGACCTAATTTCGGAACAGGTAACTAGATACGTTCGTGTGTTTTGTGACACAAAATATACTTCAAAGCAGTCCAATATAATTTCGATACAAAAAGTCGGTTTAAAGATCTTCTTGAACTTAAACAGATTTCTCTAATTGTAGACAATATCAGAAAAAAATTAGACTTCAAATACTTCTCTTTTAATGTCGCTACTTTTCCTATAGTAATTGCAAGACAAAAACCTAGTCCTACCACTTACTACACTTCGTTACTTACAGTATGTCGAAATGTGGTGGGCGAACACATCCTCTTCTTTTATCTGACTTGGCAGGGCTCATTCTAAATTTTGAGTTGTATCGATCTCCATTTCAATTCTTTCCTGAAATCAAATAAATAAATAAATTTGGTGTAGAATTTATTTTAGGCTTTGCAGTTTAAACACTACCTTATCTCAGAAACTAAAGGGGATGGAGCCAAAAGTTATATACAAAAGTTAATTGGGGTATTGCAAATCTTCAATTTATTTGAATGTTGTATATACAGGGTGTTTCATTTTTCGTGGGCAAGTATCAATTTTCTTACTTTAAATGGAACACCTCGTATATTACTTCATTTTTGAATTCTATACAAAATTCTAGACATATATCCAAGTCTAACCGTTTTTGACATTTTTAATTTTTTATACGAAAAATGAAGTTTGTAAGACGTAATATATCTGGCAATTTCTTCATTCGGAAGCATTTATTGTTTCACTTGAGTAAGTTTTGTTGTGGACAAAAGACTCATAAGAAATTTCGATACATATTACAGGGTACACGAAAAACAAGATTACAAATGAAATCAAAAGAACTGCCAAAAACTTTTTTTTAAATGGAAACTACCTATTTTTATAATCTTGTCATATTAAACTTTAAGGTTGTATATGCCTAATATATTTAGTTTTTGAAATATTTCCTTTTAAACATTTATCTCACACAAATAATATGCTGGTGTCATATAAGTTCGGTTAGTGTAAGGTGGCTGTGACGGCGTTTAAACAAAACAAGCGCTACGACGCTGGCTCCTTGGACGTGTATTTTGTTGTTGATTACTGTCATTATTCAAATATTTTCTGACACATTACTCATCCATTTATTTATCGTTTATAAAGTTAATTTATTTGCTTGTTTGATGTGTTAGAAAGTTACATATAGAACAACAAAAACTGGACCCTGGCTCTTACAGAATTATATAACTAAATGTCAACTAAGGAGGCGCCCAGAGAAAAAGTTCTTCCACAGGATTGACCAACACTTTGGAATATATGGAACCTTGAAGAAAGAAAAAATATAGATGTCGTCATAATTTCAATGATAAAGAGCAACTTAATATTTTCTTGCATTTTGCAGAGACTCATGAAGATTCAACCAGAACGTGCCTTCCAATAAACAACTAGAAGTCCTATAAATTCTGTCCAGTTCAGAAATTAGAACAACGGGATTACAACATCAGGTTAAATTTTTGCAACAATCCTATGGAGAGACACTCTTCAGAAAATATAATTGCTAATATTATTTGGATAGATGAGTCCATATTAACATCAAATACTCACTGCTAGAGCAACAAAAATAATAAAAAACATATGGAAGTTACAAGTTCAGGTGCAACTTCTGGTGCGCCATTTGGAGGTTCAGAATAATAGGTCCAGTAGTTTTTTATCAGAATTTAAATTCCCAACGCTACTTTGTTGGTCAACTATGAAATGGTAAATCATAGTGGCAGCACTTTAGCACTTGTTTTGCTCAAATGGCGTCATAGCCACCTTACACTAACTGAGGTTATATGGTAACAGCGATTGACAAATGTTTAAAAGGAAATATTTCAAAAAGTAAAAATATTTGGCAGATACAACCTTATATAAAATTGCCTTAATTTTAATATGACAAGATTATAAAAATAGGAAGTTTCCATTAAAAAAAAAGTTTTTTTGCCAGTTTTTTTTATTTCATTTTTAATCTTATTTTTCACGTACCCTGTATTAATACGTATCAAAACAAAACTCACTCAACTGAAACAATAAATGGTTCCGAATGAAGAAATTGGCAGATATTTTACGTGTTGCAAACGTCATTTTTCGAATATAAAGTTAAAAATGTCAAAAACGGTTACACTTAGATATAGGACATTTTGCACAAAATATGTTTACAATTTTGTATAGATTTCAAAAATAAAGTAATATGCAAGGAGTTCAATTTAAAATAAAAAAGTTAATATTCGCAAAATAAACACCCTGTATATATAAACTTAAAATAAATTAAAGGTTTGTAATATCACAATTACCTTATGTATTTAACTTTTGGCTCCATCCCATATAGTTTCTGAGATAAGGTAGTGCCCCAAGATAAATGGCCCACCATGTACATGGATATTAAACTTACAAAACTAGTTCTAATCTTTCTCATTTCATGTTTAATACAAAATTATTCAGGACTGAATGAGAATGCCATTGAAATCATATTACGAAAGAAAGAAAATATTTATATTCTAGTCGTCAATAAGTAACGCTTTTTAATTCATCCTTCTGACTAACAATCCTCATGAAACTCGTATTTTCTATAAAGTCTGTTCCGAACTAATTGGTTAAATACGGTCCAGATAGGTAGCTCAGTCACAGTTCAAATTTACGTAATATATCAAAATCGACATTAACATCGTCCGGCAACAAAACTTTGTCAATTAGATCCCTCTAAGGATTCTGTGTTAAAGGGTGCATTAGGAAAGCGACGGTAGCGAACAACCAAAGCAAGAGTAATCGCATTTTATTACGCAGACGTGAACAGGGTTACTGGTCAACGATTTTATTAGCAAAACAAGTTAATTTCGAAATTAGTTAGTTAGTTAAAGTAAATGATTCAATATATGTTGAGCACTGGTGGTTCCATTCATTAAATAAATGTAAATGCTGAAATATATTCCAAATAGATATTTTACCTAGCGTATGCCACCAACCAAGTTTTATTTACTTAAGGCTGCAAGACTATTAATTGAGAACAATAGTAATCAATTAAATATAGCCTATCATATAAATAAGCATTTTTTTCTGGTTGGTGAATCCATATTCAAAAAAAGGATTTATTCAACTACATGAAAATATGTCTATCAATAAAAGAATGTTCTAATAAGCAAACCAAATTAAATCATAAACAGTAGTAAACAGTAGGACCGTAGGACGCATAATAATCCAATATATTATGATCATAGTATTTATCCCAAATGACTATTTTAAAAGAAATTTAAAATTAATATTCGTAAAATGAAATACATAAAATTTAAACAGACAAATAGCATAATATGCATAGTAGCAAAATTATGCAACAAGTGCGATAAACGGCATTTGAGTCACGAGCGGAGCGAGTGTTTAATAAACGAGTGACTTAAAAAGTTTACCGAACGTGTTGCATACTATACTTTTTCTACGACCGTTAGTTCTTGGGTACATTTTTGCAAAACAACACGAATACATTCACTGACATGACCGCCAGAACTGACAAATGTCAAAATTCATGGCGTAGAAAATATGTCCGAAAACATCCGATTGCTCCCAAACCCGTGCGGTAGAATCCCGGAAATGTCCGAAGTGGCTTGGATCCGTGGGAAACGAAACTGACGTGGTAAAGTGACGCTTCCCGCACGCTAGATCGGTGGGTAATTAGGTATTTTACAGAAGGGAGTAGAAAAAAAAACAAACTTCACTTTAGTCACAAGTTTGTTTGGACATCAACGGAGTGAGTGTATAATAAACCAGTATCTGAAGCACTATATCAACGTGCTGCATACTATCCTTTTGTACGACAATTACTTTTTAGGCACAATTTTTGAAAACAGCACTAAAACATTCACCGAGTGATTGTGACGTAAGCGTCTGAACTGACACATATCAAAATAACATCAGTATTTCAAATCTACCCAACTCCAACTAAAGTACCGGAAACGGTAGAAGTGTGTGAAGTGTGAAAAATAAATAAATTAATCAACTACTTATCAATAACGTGCTTACAGAAAGATTGTAGTGTTTTTTTCACATTTGGGGGTTCTGTGTGGGGAAATTAAGTTTAATTATAAATTCGATATATATTGAAAAATTCTTAGAATATGATTCAGTTATGGAAGGTTTATTAGCACACACACACATTAACTCTCAGTTTAGTTGAAGTGTGATTGAAGAAATTTGGAAAATAGAACAGCACATGCGTTTATACATTTCTTAATAATCAATAGATGTGTAACATACAGATTGAGTTTTGCAATGATGTGCATAATTAACAAACAAGATCCCACAATATCATCTATCACGTATATGCAAGGATTAATATGGGTTTAAACAATCCAATTATAGATGCAATAAAAACATTTAATCATTGACTTCACTTCACTTCATATACGCATTAAATAGCTATAGAGGGTCATTGTTATTGAGTACATGACGTCGCGTAAGATATTGGTTTTTCCGATCAGCTGTTCTTTTTGACTATTTTTCAAACACGTTAGGTAAAGGTCTTTCTTTCTAATTATTTTTTGAAGTACATGATTCAATATCAATCAATGAATTCCAACAGACAAACAAACTGAACTTTTAGATTTTTTTTTAAATCACGTAAAATAACACGCTATCTAATTTTACTGAAATGTAGGATTGTAACAAATGCAGGACAGTAACATGCAAACATCGATGACAGTCAGTGAGCGAAAAAATTACAACGCGTTATTGTCGTTCTTCTGTGTTTATTTCTGCATAAAGCTTTATTTACTAAACTTTATGCACTGAATTCTTAGATGCTTGGGTGTAACATCCGTAATACACACACCATGTTAAAAAATAAGGCATTCTATTTAAATTGGTCTAAAGATTATTATGATATATTATATTATATTATAGAAAGGTTATAACAACTAGTATATAGAATATGGTCCATTATTACACTTCACCGTAAATTTCGCGAACATAAGTCAAATAAATTCATAAAAATTCAATCACTCTCTGGATGCGGCATGTTTATTGCAGTATTTTCTCAAAATATACCTAAAACTAATTAAATTTTCTGGGACAACGAGTTAAATGTGTGCCATTTAGAAAGAAAATGGCGTAAAGTACAGGTTAGTGAGTCAAATGTAGAAGCATGCGTAGAAAATTATTACTTTCTCTACGGAAATATCAACGCCGCCTGCAACTCATCAGCTCGAATAGAGTCAGTGATACGTGACGTGGAACGGGTAAACTTTTTAAGTCACTCGTTTATTAAACACTCGCTCCGCTGCGCTCCGCTCGTGTCAAATAAACTCGTAAGTCAAATGCTTTTTACCACACTTGTTGCATAATATACTATTGATTATTTTGGTATAAACTTTCCATTACATCTATTATTTCCACAACTAGTCCAAAAAGTCCTTACTACGCGACTGTCGTCGGCATTGGTGCTGTGAATTACGTGACAGACTATGGCAAGTTATCTCCAAAAAGCCATAGCTTACCAGGGTTTATAAAGCAAATACCAATAGAAAATTATATAGTACATATGTATTAAATTAGCCATTTAAGTTCAGTTAAAGTCGTTAATATTAAATGTACTTGATGAATCGATAAATAGAACAGAGAGAAACTATGTTTTGCAATCGTGAATAAATAAAAAACTAAAATGTAAACTACTACTAATGAAACCTTACATGTTAACGCGATAAATGTAAAGTATGAACTTTTCACACTTAATTTCATATGTTTACACCACAATCGAACACAACGTACTGAATTGCTACCGAACTTCTCGACGCGATTAACCAATTTGTTAATATTGTTTATCTTAACTAAACAACAGCCACGTAACGATTTCGTTTAAATTTCGCGGGCGAACCGACCAAGAACTAAACCGCTGGTCCCTATTCAGCGTCGCGTTCATTTTTTTAACCTTAAAATGACATTTACCCCGCAGCACTTTCGTCCGCGAATGACACCTACGTAACGCGAATTTAACTGGAAATTGGTGGAACGTAAATTGAAACTAGACCGGAGCCGCTCGAAAGAGTGGAATTAAATAACGCCGTTTAATTATAGTCATTTTCTCATTTCATTTTTGCCGCAGACGATTTGGGTAAAGTGGAAATCATTAATTTTTCCTAGTCGGCGGTTTACCGAGATAAAAGAATTTTGAGGAATTTCGTGGTCGCTTTTAGCAACATCGCGGTTGATCATTGGTACCCACATACCTTTAAATAATGGTTCCACAAAATAATCTTGATGATTTATAAAGTACACGATTTGAAAAGTTACAATTACCATCTATCATTAAAGCGGTGCTTTTTGGGGGTTTTCGGCATTTTTAGCAGAGTTAGCCAAAAACGAATAGTAAGGTACGGTACGTTGATACGTTGTTTTGTTTGCTAGGGACGCGAGGATTTTGAATGGTGCATTTTAGGAATTTGTCTGTACCTTTTTTTTTATTTATTATTATTAAAATAAAACAGAAAACTAATATAATAATATAACGATATTTTTATTCAAAACAGTTGCAATAACCTTATATATTCAGCTAAAAAAAATCAAATATAAATAAAAACCACAGTTGATGTGTAAATCAAGTCCTTATGAATTATTCATAAAATATATCAAAAAAAGCAAAAACTACATTCCAAATCAGGTTGACACAAACAAGAAATGCAGCGCAAGAGAGAGGAAAATTATGAAATAATAAAATATTATCTTCACACACATAATCAGAATAATACAGAATTCGTAGGTATTGACCATAGTTAACCATAGTTATAACACTTCACTTTTTTGACATTTTTTAAGACATATTCTCTAAGAGAACATCGGAAGATAAAACTTGCTTTATTTCATATGGGACACCCAGCATTTTATTTCTTTTTTGAATTGTCCATAAAATGCCATTGAAATTGGTGTATCACATGTATTTTGTTGAAGTCGGTTCTGAGAAGAAAATATTTTATGCCTTAATTATTTTATACCGTCTTTAAGAAATTTCTATAACAATAGGTGTCAAATTTTTACTTTTATGTTATTTTTGCTACAAAAAAATATATTTCCTACAGAAAATGTCATTTTCGTTACTTACGGCTCCGAGTCACTTCGGACATTGATGGGATAATACTCACAGTTTTGGGAGCGCTCGAATATTTTCGGAGATGATACTCACTGCTTGAATTTTGATATTTGTCAATTCTGACAGTGACTCAGTAAATTTAATCGTGCTGTTTTAAAAAAAATGTCAAGTGTACCATTAGGTCGTAGAATAAATGAAGAATATAATAGAATAGAATAGTTTAGAAGTATACGCTTAATAAACTTTTTCATTCGTTTATTAAGCACTCGGTACGCAGTTCATCAAGCTGATTGAATGTGAACCAATGAACTTTGAAATAATAAACATTAATTTTTTAAAAAACTATTAAATTTAATGAGAATTTTATGTCGAAACTAGAATTGAAATAAGATACATGGTGCTCTATAAAAAAAAGCAAATTTGATAATCAAATGTTTTTAAAAAATATGTCTGTAACAAAACTAACCAAAACAAATGAAAATCCCTTGAGAAAACTGCAACACGTTGGCTCACTTTCGGCTGTTTCAACTAGAACGCCCACATAAATTATTAAATTTGGCCAATCTAAGTTACTTTTTGGTAAAAGATGCTGGGAACAAAAATTGTCACAGCATCAGCTTCCGAGCTACAGAACGATGTTGGTAGTGACAGAGGAGGTTTTTAATAACACCGCTTAAGGAATACTGATCAACGTTTGATTTTTCTTATGAAATATCCTTATTATCAATAAAATTATTTGTCTTTTTACAAACTTTAATGAATTAATAGTGTCTCAATTGGGGGGATGATGTTCTGTATCGTACAAACTAGAAGACTTTAGAAACCTATGAAAAAAATCAGCAAAGCAAAAATACATAATCCTACACACTTAATGTCGAACTCTTCGGAATACTTATAAAATGTTTTGTGGTTTTTTGTTAAATCTGAGAGATACCCTGGATTATTACGAAGAATAATATATTCTAGACACCAAATTCTAAAGACGCAATTTTTACCTCTGCGTTATGATGAAAACAGCATCAGAACCACGGACGTCGTTTATTCGCTTAGCTGCTTTGTAATTCAAATGTTTTTGGGCATACGAAAAAGCATTTTGCCGCTACATGATCCTTCCTCCCGCCATGTACACAAAGGGTCCGTTTTAACATAAACACGTACAATAATTTATTTCTTTGTTCTGCCATTTTCAATTAACTTTTTATTTGAATTTATGATTTTTTTTGCGCCTCGAATGCTGAAACACGTAAGCAATTTTATGGGAATTCAAACGAGCTGCCGCCCGGCCCTACTACCAAATCAATAATTTATTTATACAGAACAGGCAGTCGACTCCACTATAAGAAAACGAACAATACTAATAAAATTATGTGCATGTTTCCAAATAAATATCACCGAAAATATATTATAAATTGTGAATATATAGCTCTATGAACAAATTTTATGCGAATTTAAAAAAGTTGCAGCTACTACCAAATTAATAATTTATTTATACGGAACAGGTACTTGGCGCGGCTCATTATAGGAACTCGAAAAGCATTAGTAAAAGTGTGAGATTTATCCATACACACAAACAAAAGGTGATCTTTTATGAACAAATTTTCTGAAGAAACAAGTAGTTATTTGAATTGATGAAGCATTGGCAAAAACATAGTAACCAAAGGTAAGCAATGATCATGAATTTGAAAAATAACATTGGAAATCAAATTAATTATAATTTAGCTAATAATGTTAAATTATATAATTTTACGAAAACCTATATTTAGTATTATTATATGAGGACCAACAAAAACTTGTTTCAACCTACTTTTCCAGTCATTTCTTTGGTTTTCTTTTTTTCTCTATTTCATTACCATAATTGCTTTGAAAAAAATTCAAGTGTTTACTAATAATATCTATTCCGTTCTTCTTACTTTTCTTTGTTACATTTCACTGGACCTCGTCGGCCCGATTTACGTAGGTTTCTTATTATTTGACCATGTCTTCGATTCTGTTCTTTGTGGATTTCTTTAGAGCGGCCATATTCTATGTGAAGTTTGTTACCTAGTTCACCTCATTTGGGTAATTCAGAATCAAGGAAGAGAGAAATGTGTGAGAAAAGTGAAAATAGTTTTTATTAAATAACTTCATATTAAAGAAATATAAAGTACTAATATACATTTACCAAAACTAACTAATCCAAATTAAAACTACCCTCATTTAAAATTTTGCGTTATCTTAAGCCGAAAACATGAAAATTACTTCGCAGAAGTGACATTAACATTCCGGAACGGTTATTCATACAACAAAAAAAAGAAAATTCCATTAATACTTTTAGCAAAAAAATTTTTTTTTTTCATAGGGAGAAGGGCGATGGTAAAAATAGGAGCCATGGAGGCGGAATTTTTAAGTATTTGTTTGTAATAAAAAGTTGATAATAATTTAAATATTTTTGATTTGGAAGTTGTAAAGAATACTATACAATTTTATCACATTGCAACTACGACAGGGGCTATCCGGTTATTTTTCATTTGGTTTTTTCATTTGGTTTTTGCTAAGTCACTTAGGAAATGTCTGAGCAAACAACTATTTGACCAGAACTGTGTTAGAATAATCTACTAAAGATTAATTTAAGACACCACGGAAGACATAAAATTTTTCTAAGCTATATACCCACTAAATATTGGTCACAAAAGGAAATAAGAAACTAACATAAATTTCAACCCATTAATATTTGGTTATTAAAAATAATAATTTTTAAAACCGAAATCGCAAACCTCTCTCACACAAGACAACGCAAAGCTAATAATATATCATGTTGTCATCGTATCTACAATTTTCCCCAAGTTTTAACTGAGCACATATCCAGACTAAAATTCTGAAAAAGCATTTTTAAATTATTCACAAGGAAGGACAAAAATAGAATTCAAAATTGTATGTCACGAATGTAATCATTTTCCTGGCCTTCAACCTACATCGTCGTTGTATTTATGCATTATGCACAATTTGATTGACGTAACTATTAACCTAGTGCTTAACATATCCAATACTCTACTTAAATTTAACAAAGATCGATATACATATTGTTTACAAAACGATATTAAAAAACTGTTATAATGAATGGATTTTCTTAGTCGACACCAACATTTTCGCCTAAAAAGTCATGCATTCGCACAGTGGGTCAAAGGATAACTTTCGACGCAAAACGCGGAGCAAAGCCGTCAATATCAGAAGTTTGAGATGCGAGTGTTATACCACATTCAAAAGAGCTTTCAATTCCCTATAAGGTACTTGGTTAGTTTTCGAAAATCGTTGCGTCGGCAATGTAAATACGGCGCTTTGAAATAGAAGCAATACTTTTGACGAAAAAGTTAAAAATCGATTTAATTGTACTTAAAATGTAGGGCTTTCGTCCTATCAGTCTGACCTAACGGGTCATTGGCTTAGTTATCTTACCATATTTTTTTTACTCGAGTTATTTCTTCCGAATTCGTGAGTTTTGTACGAATTACTCAGTTTTTGTTTGTCGGCCTCCAGATACATGATATAGAAGTTAAAGATCTTTCAAAAAATTTCCGATGTGTTGAAAATCGACTCTTGGTTTACTAGTTGGAATGGAAATTGTAGTTTTTAGAATTTATGTTGGCATTGATTAGCATTTGAAAAATTATTAAAATTTTTTGGCCATGAATTTGTGTTGGACATTATTCTCGCCTGAAATCTCAACATATTCTATTGATTTTGGGGTGAGTTAATAACTTATTTTGAGTTGAATAGATGAAAATTTGGTGTTTTATATTGCTTTGTGTTGAATTGTTTCTGGTTTCTAGA